GATTAGGATTTCAGGCAATGAACTAAAACAATATATTACTAGACCGGCAGTCAATCAGATCACTATCACTTCAAACATCATTTAAGAAGATCTACATTTTTTATTATTTATATAGCTCCATAGTTCATGGTGCTACATAGAACAAATCAAAGACAGATTCCCTGCCCCCTAAGAGCTTACAGTCTAGGCAAGTACAAGAACAACAGGAGAAGATAACACAGGCAGGGGACAGAGAGGGGTAGTAAATAAAAAGAAAGACAATTAGATTACAGTCACATGAAAAGCTAATGTATTTATCTTGGTGGATACAAACTGGGGAGATGAGGTGTTTGAGTAACTTTATTTTAAATTAGAACTATATTAAAAGGAAAGCTAGAAGAAAAGGGGTTTGGAAATAAATTTGATAGTGCCAGAGATGCTTGTAGGAAGGCAGAGAGGCAAGACTGGAAAGGAAGGGAACAGGACACTACCATATTTGAGGTTGAAAAGCAATGATCTTATAAGTCAGACAAGCCAACCTCAGTGACCCTTTCTTTTCCCATAGGTCCTTGAAATTATGTCAGAAAATACAATCGCTTCTGTACACCTCATTTTGCCTTAAATATTATGTCAGTATATATTTGGGGCTGCATCGGATAAAATTTTGATTCCTCTGAAGGAGGAGTTTTGACACTTCTTTCAAAGTAGTCAGTATATCCGTCATCGTATTTTGTGTTTATTGATATATTTGGAGACTCTGATGTATTTGGAGACTAAGTTAAGTTGTGTCTCAAGTATAGAGTACATATTTTTCCAATATCCTTAATATAATAAAAATACAAAAATTATTTTATAGCATTATCATTTACCTCTTTTTATACCATTACCTCTGCTCATGACTACTTTTCCCTGAAAATATTTTGATTTTTGTAGAGTATCAGGGCACTTCTCCTACTTTTATTTGAGGCTTTGGATTTTTGTGTGGGATTTTTTTCTTTCATAAATTATGTTTTTTTCATTCTGAAATATTAGCTAGTTAGTGTAGCAGGACTAAACAATGTTATTTTCAGTTTTGGAAACACTGTATGGATGAAACCAGGAAGGATTAATGCACAGAGCCTTAAGTAACATGAAAATGAAAGAAAGGGTTATTTCAAGCCTATACTGAATTCTTCAACTGAAATTTGAGATAGAAATTGAAATAAAAATTGAGATAAAACCTGCCAGATACTCCCTGTATATGCCTGTACTTATGTTTATGTGAAATGAGAATACTATGAAATGGCCTGCTGATGTCTATAATTGGACAAATCCTCATTCACTATGAAGCACCACAGATCTCTTGATTTCATCCAACTATTTGGCTCTCAATTTTTGCTACTGGTCCTTCAAAAATGTTATTTATCTTATCAATAAGATAAAAGGGATTTTGTAAATTTTTCTACAATATCCACATAGTTATCTATTGCTATACAACCATGCTGAGCCAACCTGAAAGTCTAAATTGTGTGTCTTGAGAGTGCTTAAAGATTACACATCTCTATTTTCATTGAAGCAGACACAGGGAAAAAAACCAGCGTCCTGTTCAATTTTTCCCTCCAATTGTCATCCACCAGCTAGGATCATACAATGGGGCTACAACTGCTTTAAAAGTCTTCTCTAGAGTGACTTTCAAGGTCAAACAGAGAAGCACCCATCTTCCTGTCCTGGGAAATCAGCAGACTAGTTAAGTTGTTACATGAAACCACATAAAGCAGATATGTACAGATTCTGAATCTTCATGGGCCAGATACTCACTTGATTTTAAGTGGTGTAGTTTCATCAATTTTAATGACATTATAGAAATTTATACTATGTGAGAATTTTGAAATTTGAAACTAACCTTTCAGAGGCCTTTCAAAATGAGGAATTTTTTTTCAGAACTGAGGATTTTGTTCATAACAGTGAAAGGAAAATGAACTATTGAGCTTTTTGGAGTACAAAATTACCAGTAGTATTTTCTACTGCTTTGGGGGTCAGGTCTTCATTAGTCAATTTTCTGTAAATGTCTTAATAGGGAAATAATTAATAATGCATAACAAAGTAACAGCATGAGTTAATGTATGACTTTAAAAAAAAACACATTATCATACTATGAGTCTGTGGAGCCATGCACTTCTACTCCTGATCTTTAATATAAATCTCCAGTTACTTTGCATATTTCCTTTAATAATGGAAGGCTGAAATTCTCACTAAAATCTTAATTAAGCCACACTACGTTTGTGATAGGAGTTTTTTTCCCTGGGGGACTTTGACCCAATAAAATATTTGGAACATATTCTGTATTCACACTTACTTTGGCTCACATAAAGCTTAATGAATATTAGTCAGGTGCATCAGGTTGAGAATAAAATCTTGCTTATTTCAATATCCTCAATGGAAAAAATAAAAGTTTGTTTGAATATAATACAGCATTTTATTACATGATTTTACAAATTTTATTGTAAATCATCAATCAAATGCAATAGCCAATTTTTTTCCATTCCAAGCCATCATAATTAGGAGTTTTCATTGTGTTGTATGACAGTTACTCTTTCCCCTTTGTGTTTTAAAGAATTAACTTAAATATAAATTATGTAAGTATACTCATTTCCAGAATAATTGCTAAAGGTGTTTTTATCTTATTTATACTTCAGACAAAGATAACCTGTTCTCTATTATCACATAAATGGGGATGAAACTCACAAATATAAGAGAATTTGCTTTCTCAGTCCCTGCTCACAATGGAAATGGCCAGCTCAATCTCTATGAAGATATATGATAACTGGGTAGTAGACACAAACCTCCCATTTCCCCCCAAATTTCATTATATAATTTCTACAATTTAAACTATATGTCTCATACTCTTGTGTTATAAAGATGATGATAAGACTAAATTAAGTACCAGTAAACAAATGATCTTATTACTCACCAATGACTGATAATTTATGGTAATTTCAATGTTTTGTTGTGGGTTTTTTTAACTAGTCAAATTAATTATTTTCCATTAAAGACCATCTCCATAATCTTTTTCGGTAGACATAACATTCCTACATAATCCATCCTATGCATTTCTTGTTGAAATACAAATAAATTTACAGCAGAAAGAGGTGCAAGATTCAGCATCTGTAGGGCAGTATTTCAAAAGGTTATGTCCAGGAACTCACCACAGTCAGGACATATAAATTAGCTTTGAAGCAGCTAAGAGCCAGATCCTGCAAATTGTAGTACAATGTACTATAAAGGCTTGTCTCAGAAATCCCAGCACACTCTCTTGCCACACATTTAGTGGCAAAATTGTCAGGATAGGGCACTAAGCTGAAGCTAAGTACCAGTACTGACACAAAGTACTGTACATACATTGCTCAAATCACACAGCAAAACCAAAACAACTAAAACTGACATAAATTTAATTCTTTCTTTTCTTTTTTTTCTTTTTTTTTTTTTTAATTTTGTGCATTGGATTCAAACAGCAAACCGAGTGCAGTTTAACTTTTATCACCATGTGGTCAAGAGGTCTGTGTCTTTTACCATTTACACACAATTGTTCATGACAGCATGTTATCAGCTTAGTGGAAACCAAGGGTGTAGCATGGTAAGCAGTGGTGGTAGTGCACCTATTTTTTTATATTATATAACTTGAAAATATGTCTCTTCTAAGATTCCTTTTTCATGATAAAAATAGTTTTCACCAAACGTTGGTGGTGCGCACACACTACCACTCATGCTTGGCATCACACCCCCGACAGAAACACATGTTCCTATTTTGTTGATAAAAAGTATTACAAAAATTTCCATACAAAAACTATTTTCATAGAAATCTTGCATTTCCACAAATAAACCTGAACATTTTTTTTTTTTTGAAAAAAAAACTGCTCAAGAATTTTGTTCATTTAGTACTGTGACTGTATTGAAAAATGCAGTCCTCCTTAAAGTTCTCGGCCTTCATTTCTTTTAGGTGACCCGTCCCACTCCCAACATTAGTGAGAATTGCACAGGCTCCATTGAGTTCAATTAGTAGCAGGAACAAGGGTTTCAAAACCCATTCAGGCTAAAATGCAAGCCCTCTATGTATGAAATATACTGCTTCCCACCCCCTTCCCTCTTTTCACAATTATAGAAAAAAAAATATTAATTGCTTATATCTAAAGGTTGTAAGATACATTCCTTTGTACTAAGGAAACTTTCATTCATCTAAAAATTGGGTCAAAATTGTGGAAATATTTTTGTTGATTTTTTAGATCAAAGTTCCAACCCAGTTAAATTTAAGTTACTTTTTTCTAAATTATTATTTATTTACTTAGTTCAGTGTCACAAACAGTCCAGAAAAAGTAGGTGAGCATCCTCATATTTATCCTTTTTTTCATGGGATTCATGTTTCTTCACTTTTAACATTTCTTCCATCCAGGAAGCTCATATCGCCTGTCCAGATGGTAGTTTCGGTATACCAGCAGTTAGCAACTCTTCTATGCTGAAAAGTTCAGAAGACAATATGGTTTCTTGTTCCACTACAGTTCTGAGATATTACTTTTACTAGACTCCTTCTGTGGTTTGTATGATCTTGGGCATTTATTCTCCATCTCCTGGCAACCGTTGAACTTCAAAAGGAACCTGTAACTTCTCACTTAGACTGCATTTGAAACCAGCCACAAAACTCACATGGAACATTCATTCATTCAGAATGGTGCAAACCCATGACAAACAGTGTAACCCTGCATAAATTGGTTGATCCATGATGCTTGTGATTCGAGTCTGGCCATTGCAACTGCTGAGATCACAGAGTCTCTAGTTCATAGACACAGCGGCATGAGGTAACTCATTTTATTTTGCACTTGTTGCATATTTCCACAGGAAACATTCTCGCAAGGTTGTTTGGAAAAAAGACGACAGTTTGTGCTTGGGGTATTTGGCTTCCCAGCTCTATGCCATGGTTTCTTTACCTGGCAACCTTCTATCGTTAAACGTGTGCATGTTGATAACTTCTTCTGTTTTCACAATAACAGGGGCCTGTGGCTTGTGTTTTAATCGACGCTGACACTTCAGAGACATCCTTAGCTCCTCTACCATGGCACTACAGAAGGACCTCTATGGAGGGAAATAGAGGAACAAGAAAAAAGAACGAGCTGTAAGAAATGTCCAACAGCAATGTCTAGTAGCAGAGTCACTGTATTGGCACAGCCTTGTCAGGCCTGTAAGTTTCCTTTGTCTCAATCTGAAGCTCAAAGCAAATTGCTGTCTTTAAAATATGCATCACACAATAATTAAAATTACTTATAAAGCTGTGATGACTCGGTGTAAAAATCACCTTGTCTCTACAATTATTTATCGGGCAGCTACTGACGATGGACGCACATGATACATAAAAGTATTTCAAGCAGATTTTCTATCAACATTGGTTAGCCTTACAGTACAGTATCTGAATGTAATGTGTATATAAGGTATTCAGTAAAATCTCCTTGGTTGTGTTTGAAAATAATAACTTCATTTCTATATGACTTAAATAAGTGCTCCTCAACAAAACAACAAGCTTTAGTATAAGAAGTTTACCTAAATTGTTGTTTAAATACTGTTAAAATTCATATCCATTACTGAAAACCAACATCTACTCCATTATTTTTAATATCTTCTGTATATAAACACTTTTCCCACTACTTATTATCATTGTGGGGTATGTGTTAGCAAAACAAAAAAATCAATCATTGACCTTTATGAAAAGCATATTATTAGAAAAAGTTTATTAACATCTTTTCATCAAAAGCTAGACCCTAAAAGCCCTTTTGCCATTTTATAGTGCAAGAAATTTGAAAAGTAAAATAAAATCTCCCTATTCCCTATGTCTGACTGAATTCTCAACTGCTAATAGTGTGCTGAGCAATGAGCCTTGCCTTAGTGTGAGAACTGGAGCATGGATGAAATATGGAAGTAAGGAAGAGGAGTCTTAGTTTTGAGATCTGTGAATTAATCACTTTTACCATATACTTTTGTTTAAATGTTTTCCAGCTAATGGAGAAATCTACTAACTAAATAACTCATCTCAGAAGTTGAGATGTTATGCCAAGCCTCTGCCAATTGCTCTCATCCAAAGCAAATCTGAGGTATAATCTAGCACTTTGCATTTTTCTCTGTTAATAACAAATCTCCAGGCCAGGGAGGTGATCTGGAAAAAAAGGCAAATGAACAAACAACAACCAGACAAACAGACAAAAAACCCAATAAAACAACAACAACAAAAAGACAAAGCACCTAGAATTACTGTAACTATGTCTTGACCATTGTTTGATTTTGTGTGATTAGTGGTAGTAAATATCAAATTGTCTAATTTATCTCTCAAATAAGAACTCTGCTTCATTTCTGAATGGTTATATCACCATTATTCATACAAACCTAGAGTTTGAAGATTAGATCCAGAAAATATTTAAGCATTTCACCCCATCTGGTTCTTTGGGAACCTAAACTGAGGCTGTGTTTATAAAAGTCTACATTCAACTTCCAACCTCCAGGGCTGGAAGCACTCTGAGCAGTAAGGCACTCAGTTTTCCACATTAAACTTTATAGCTTTGATGTTTGCTTGGCTTAGTCCTGGATCCTATCAGAATTCAAACTGAAGTTCTCCATGCATGGTCATCCATCCCATAGGTATGCTCTGAAAGGACCTAACAAATCAAGTTCCTTAAAAAATATGGCAACAGCTGAAGAAGGACACGTGGCGGATATTACACCATTCTTCTGTGCAGCCAGTCATCAGCTGGAGCATTAGAGCTGAATGTGAAAGATGTTTGAGAGTGTCAATTTAATAGTGTCTGCTAGAGGAGATTTAAAGCTTCAGTGTCTCGGTAAACAGCTGTAACACACAGGCATTAGACCATTCCAAGGTAAAAACACTTGCAGTTTCTGCCTACTGATCCTGATCTACTTTGCAAGTTGGAAGCAGTTAACAGAGGCAAAGTCAGGGAAAGGGAGAGACGGAAAACATGGGCTGTTCTGTAGATTAGGGATGAGAGCACACAGTGGCAGAGGAAAAACTTCAGCAGTAGTTCCTGTTTCAGTGAGGACTTTTGCATAAAATTCTGATTTGTGCAGAAGAATGCAAACATGAGTTGTCTCAGTCATGGGTTAGAATTCTACCTTAATTCATCAAATCCTGAAAGAAATGCCCTCTTCCTTAATCCTTTGCATGAATAAGGGAACAGGCAGGTAGGAAGGAAAGGGCAATCTTACTCTGGCTGTGATACTCTTCCTTTGAAACCTTCCTTTCTCCTACTGAGTTTGAAATAAAGGAATGATACTTAACTTACAATAAAAAGGGTTTAACCACCTACAACTAAGAAGAGTTTAAATCATGAGTCCAAAGGAAATGAAGGTATATCTCTCTGGTTCAGAGTGAAGTACAAGTTCTTCAAAGGCAAATATGCTAGATCTCCATGCATAAGGTATCTTTGCTGAGCATTGTGAAGAAAGCAGGAAACTGCACCTCCTTATTCAGCTATACTTTGAAAGAAAATATTCAATTCTCTTAGATTTTCTCTTTGTTTTTTACAAAATTCCTGTTGCTTAACATCAAACTGCAATTATGATTATGAAACTGAAATTAACCTCGAAATCTTTCAAAAGGGCAAGATTTACTTTAGTATTCCCTATGTCTTACACGCTAAATTGCTAAGGCTTTAAGATCTTGGCATTTCCACTGTGTGGTGAACCTAGCGTATAACTCGGGAATTTTACAGGGAATCCATTAGGAAGTAAACGGTGCAACTCAACACTATACCACTTCCAGCCATTATATGGCTCTCACCTCTGGAATTAAAGACATAAGATTCTGAGGAACAAAATCCATTTAATTTTAAAATGATGCATTAACACTAAACACTTTCAAGATTTCAACCCTTGTCTTTTTTTGCCAAGACATCTAACAAGAGTGCCAAATTAGGATAAATGCTTTTTAACATGCATCTTTCCACCAAAACCTTTGCAAAGATCTGTAAAGGGTATAAATTTTTAGGTAATATCAGTAGGAAAAGAATTATAATCAATATCCAAGAGGTGAGAAGATACATGTTAACATTCTGAACTATGCTGAAAATGAGATCTCAAGAAACTTGTCATTTTATCTGAAAATTTTACCTGGATATGAAAACTCATTAAATGAGAAATGTTGGAATTACTGACAGTTTTAAAAAAGCAGATAATCCAGTTCTGAGAGTTATTTTATATAGAAAATTCTCCCATTCTGTGTTTTCAAATTATTTTACATATATTAAGTTTATGGGAACTTATCTGCACATACTGTAATAAAAATATTGTTACTGATTAACTGTTACAGATCTTCTTTTTTTTTCTCTGTTTCAAGTTTCACTCACTGAAATAGTCATGTATTTTAAACAGAGATTATTTCAAGGCTATATAAGAGTTCCTGAAAGGCATCTTTATTCTTCTTTGGGTTCTCTCTGAGAAATACAAGGAAAAGTTTTCACACATACAAAAAAATCATATTCAAAAAATGTTAGAAAGGATTACTTTATGTTTCACTTTTTTAATTGAAATTATTAATTGTTGTCTCATTTCAATTTCAATCAGTGTAGTCTTCATTTTCTGTACAGTTAAACCTTGTGTTCTTTCAGTGTTAGGGTACAACTTTTGGAATAATAAGGCATGAAAACAAGACGCAGCTCCAGAATTCTTTTTTTTCTTGTGACAAATAAAAGACATTTTCAGATATGAGTTTAGAAAATATAATCCAATGCCTTGATCCTGAATCCAATTGACCAGTCAGATTGCTAGGGGAAAACAGCAAAGTGTTTACAGAACTTACAGGCTACATTTCAAAACTGTTGTCTATCATGAAATTGAGCACTTTTAGTATATATTACAAGCCTCTCTCCACTTAATTCAAAGAAAATAACCTTTTGCTCCCGACTTATCTTCTACACTGCAGGCATGTTACAAGAACATCAGTTATTATTGATTTTTCACTAACCCTTACAAAATCATAAGTTGTCTTCTTAACAGCTACCAGAAAGTAAATGCTGCCTCCAAGTCATCTTAGGTATAATCAAATGGTAGAAGCGTTTAAGGATGGCATACAGCTCTCTAAACAATAGTGCAGTTAAGTGCGTGTGTTTTGTTACAGCAAATCATGATAAAACATTACAAAAAAGTATACAAAAGAAAATTTTAGTCAGAACTGTAGTTCTTAGCCTTCTAACACAAAACAATTTTGAAAAAGTTCATCTCCTTAAGATGAATAAAGAAATAACTGATACTTTTGAAGTTCTTTGCCAAAGGTGACAGCTCACAAGTCATATAGAATCAAGATGATAATTCTGTGAAAAGTTACCACTGCTTGCAATCTATTTAGACAGCTTGTGTATGGCTTTACTACCAGAGAGAAAAAATGTATCTTTGCATATTTGTATTAATACAAAAGGTAGGTAATACTTACACTGTTTTCATTATTTTGCTTTATAGGGATTTAGAAAGGTAATCAGAAGTCATATTAGCATTTTTTAGACACAGAATTATGAGACTACCACCATAGATTTTGCTTTCAACAGCCTAAAAAGAGCAAAGGAAAGACAGGAACAGTATGCCTGCCCCACTCTAAACATTCTGATTTAAGTGATTAATAGTCCATATGTTTAAAATATAAAAATCTCCAATCATTTGCTGATTTATATTTTCCCTTCTTTGATGAAGATAATATAACTCACAATGTTAAATAAAAAGCTTTAAAATTCACTCAGAACTTCATTACTTCCAGTCTTGTGTGTCAGACATTATTTGAAGCTTTGTTCAATTATCTTAAAGCAGTAAAAGCAGTAATCCTGCATTGTCTTGTTATGGGCCATTGTTCTAGCATCTAGCAGGACATATCCATCAAACTGCTTCTTGTCTTAAAGTTAGCTGAGAATGAATGCACCTGGGTCAGGCCTATCATCACCCTCCCTTCTAATAATTTCCTGACTCCTATGCCACTCCTTCAGGGATTTTGAATATATATATATATGGAAAATCTGTCAATCTTAAAACCTCTAGACAGAAAAACAAACCCTATCAAAATATTGACTTAGAATGACAAAGAAATGAACATTAAAGGACAGAAAATAACCTCAGAAAAAGTGAAATCATATATAATTGTAGTTGAAGCATAAGCATTTCAAAGAAGTTGAAGTGTACTTGTAATGATCAACTTTTTAGGTTGCTTATTTATATACCTATTTTTAGACATGATTGTAGATCCAAGGTTGTACACATATGTGCAAATACTATACATATCTATATAGACATAATGTGGTTACATTAAAAATATTTTGTCACTGACTTTTCTGATGTATTACATTTTCAATTCATAGCAAGTATAATGCACAAGTACGCTCCAGACCAAGTTCACACCAATCACCTGAAGATATTATCAATATATTCTCAATTTTAGACTTAGCAATTACTGCACTTTTTGGTAGAAGTAGAATGAGCAATTTAGGAAGTTATTTTCAGACCAAAATGCATGTGAGATTTCATTCCCTACTCAAATTAAGACAATAATATCAAACAAAAGGAAAATTTTAATTCCACAAGTCGAACTCTGCTTTTACCATAGTATCTAGAAAGTCAAGACCAGTAGAGTAGTTCCAGTCAGCCTGATGAAGCATGTTACTCTGTAACTGAATGGAATGTTGGTTTTTTCAAGGACTGTTGTAGCTGTTTGATGGAGACGATCAACAGAAGTCTGATGGAACTGACCTTTCCCATAACGAAAAAAACACTGAGACAATTTTCCACAGGCTGAAGTACTCACTGAGTTTTACAATTATGTGATGAATATGTCATCCTTAGATGACATACAGGACCTCATTGCAGGCCACTTCTAGTTTTTATTGTAAATGTCTCCCAGTGGGACAATAAAATTCCAGCTTGCCTTAAATAAATTATCAATTGTTTTCAAAAAAAACCATAACCAAACAAACAAACAAAAAAAAACCCACCAAAAACAATTCAGCCACTCTCAAGCTCTAAAATTTATTTCCTGACAGAACAAAATGCACTCTGGTGGATGACAGAGACTTCTGGTAAAGCAATTCTGCATTCATTTAAAGTCTTCTAAAACTATTTAACCTGGTTTCCAGACTGAGTGCATCCTGGCAGCTACACTATTTCCTGTAGCTGATGGGGAACTCCTATTAGCGCAGAAAGTTTTTTCCAAGTGGTTTTGTTTTGCTCTGCCAGCAGCCTTTCTGGCCATCACACTGACCATGATGTTTTTCTGACTCACCTGTGGACCTAGGCTGGGGCAGAAGGGATTGCACTTGTGTGGTTCCACTCTTTCCACTCAGAGAAATCCCAGAGGATGGCATAGGGCAATTGCTCATCAGCCCCGAGAACTCTCTCTCATGCAGGATTCCACAAGGTTTCATCCTGTCATCTCTCCTTTCAACATGTATATGAGGCCACTGAGGAAATAATGAAATAATTTGGGCTGTGGTGTCATTGACACACAGATGATACACAGTCCTACTCTATTGTCAGACCAGGATGGTGCAATCATTTTGAGCTTCCAGTGCCTGGTTGAAATAGGGGGGTGATGGCAGCTTAATCCCGGGGAGACAAGTGCTGTGTTGGACAGGTAAAGGCAAGCACTCAGAAAATATTATCTACCCTCATTGTTCACTTCCACCTCTTCTAGAAGAGGCTTTCAGTCTTGGATTTCTCCAGGTTAGGGTCTAGGTTTTCAAACTGAATCAGCTGCAATAAGTGTTATTTGTCATTTGTAAGTGTTTCGGTCAGTGGCAATGATTCTGCTGGTGTAAACCTTGTCACACCAGTCCAGATCTTCTTTCAGAACATAGCACAGCAGTCTAGTGTCCCTGAACAGTGACTACACATGGCATTTAATAAGGACTGAGAGCAATTAATAGTACCTCAGCCATGTAGCTGCAGCTCAGAAAATAACAGTATATGGTACTGCCTAGCTGATTTAGAATGATATCCGCTGCACTGTTAATGTTTCTGTATTTTGTGATCACACTGTGCAGGGTATTTCTCTGTCTTTCATCAGAGATGATCCTGGTTGCACTGAAATCAATCCCCTGAGATCTTGCACCCTCAGGCACTGGATGTGAGAGTTCATTTACCTGTTGAATCATTTTTGATCCAACATCTAAATTAATTTTGTTTGCCCAAGGAATGTCAGATTTGTTGATCATCAGGCATGTGGAAGGATGGTGATATGTAATCAATCCTTTGGAGTAAGGATCTATTTGGATAAAAATACTTTATATAGCATAATTTGAAAATAAATAGTTAATTTTACAGCAACATTTTAGAAAAATAAATGCAACCTTTATTACCTCAGTTCTAAATGCTTTTTTTTTTTTAAGTTTGCTTGGTTTAAGTCCACTGTAAATTATTCACTGTAAGAATTTATATAGTTCAGTGTGATAGTATGAACTTTGTAAAAAATTTGGCATGGCCTCAAATCATATTGAACAGAGAGAGACTATTAGTATTAAATTAATGCCAAGGGTTTCTACTGTTTTGGAAACACTATTATAGCCATATTGCACCACACAATATCAAAAGGTTTAACATTAATTTGTCTATAATTACATGGTTTTATCTGTCAGTCTCGGGCAGTTTCTCAATCTAAAAGGCAGCAGGAAGTGCTTATTGTTACTTTGTTGACATACAAAAGTCAAAGTAACTGAATCAGTTGAACTAAACTGTATTTACTACTACACTTAGCTATAGCATAAGTGATCAATTTAAAATAGAAAGATTAATATTTTTATATTAAAACCTGACATGGTAAGGTAATATTTAGGGGAAAACAATGAAAAATTATTAGAAAGACTTGAATGTTCTGTAATCCGACATTTTTCCCTGAGAATGAAGAAGATATTTTTATCAGAGAAGCAAATAACTATATAACGCAAATGTTTCTTCTTTCTACTGATAAAGGAAAATGAACTATATTTTCTATAAAATAAACAAAATTTAGAGTTTTCCAACATTTTTTATACAATTTTAAATTCCTGTCAAACATAAAATATTCCATAACTCATATCTATAATTTAAGCTCTGATTTTTTAATATCTGTGGAGCTGTAGTGAACGTCCTGTACTTGAGTACTTATGTAATGGTCAGCTTTACATACATTTCTAAATTTTCTTTTCTTTGTTTCTTGAATGACACAAATTAAGATATTAGAAACACCTCAGAAAAAAAGGTCCATTACCAAACAGACATTTGTTAAGCTGCAATCAAAAATCAAAATAGAGTTTTTTTAGTGTTTTATTGTTTGTAAATTACTCTAATTACTTTTTAAATGCTGCAGTTAGTAAATTGCTTTCTTCCACTTTTTCTGTGTTCGTCCCCTTTTTTTTTTACCTTCTTTTAAAGGTGTTTGGGGGTATGTGGGCTGTTGGTTTGATTTTGGTTTCTGGGGGGTTTGTTTTGTTGGATTTTGTAACACTTCCTTCCCTTCGAATATATCCTCTAATATATACTTACGTGGTTTCCAAGAGGGCATTTAATTAAAATTAATACCTCAACTTCAAGTAATCTGTACACTTACACACAAATTAACCATACAAGTTTATGTATCCACATACAGTGCTTAAGGGAGTACAGGATGATAGAAGTTCACAATTTTCTGACTGCATATTTGCAGAATGCAATGCGCTAAAGTTGGAAAAACATTTTCTTTCATGAGCTGTTGCAGCTGTTATTTTTCCTCGCCAAAATTAAAATTTTTGGGGTTAGTCGGTTATAAAATGTTACACAAAAATACAGACTACATAACTGACTGTACATTGTATAAAAGTTAGTTGGGATATGAACCCCAAAGCTTTTACTTTGATTTACCAAGAATGTCAACATTTTTTTCTTATAGCCTGAGGAGTAAGCTTTTCAACTTTAAAATCTTTTGAACTTGCCTCCCCCTGGAAAAAAATCATTAGGCTGGAATTTATTTTGGGATTGTTTTAAAACTATTATAAATTACACTCTCAAATTCAAATGCTTTTGATATTAAACTATCAAGAATATTTTTGAACTCCAACAAAACTGACATAACCTTTTTTTTTTTTGTTTTTGAGAAAGTAATTAAAAATACTTCAGTGAAAACTAATTTAGTAAAATTTGGAAAGATCACTATACCATAAAATATTCTGTTAAAATCAAAAGAGGCATGAAAATATTTTCATTTTTTCATATGAAACTATGAAAATTTTGTTTTGCTCTGTTGGTAACATAACAATTAAAACAAAGACTGAAATACTGACTTTCTACCTATCCTGCTGACAAAGAAACATCACAATATCACAGTACTTATATAACTTCTTCCTGTAAGTCCTTTCCATATAGGATGAGTTACATGTTTGCAATTTGCTTACATCAATTCTAAAAAGAAGCATTGTAAGGCATAGTGAATTAAACTTATCCTAATGCAAATAGATTGTAGAAGGACCTTGGAAAATAAACTCATGTTAGCATTTACACTAACTTCATGTAAACAAATTGAGAACAGTTAAATTGTATTTGACAGAAGCAAAACCAGGATGAGGTGTCAACTGCATATGCTTGCAGCACAACAGCTTCTTCAGCCTATCAGCTCTTGGCCCCTCCTTGCCTCCTGGGAATTGTGTGGACCACTGCATTAATAAAGCCGGGTTTACAGATAACTCCTCAAAACAATGACACCTTCTCCAAAGAAACCCTTACCAGGATAGGTACAAGGATAACCATTTACGAGACTGACAACAAGAAATGTTCTATATATTCTTGACACTGCCTTCAGCAATACTGTGAATTTCATCCTAAAGTTTTCAGCAGTGCACATGTAGTTTCTATTACAAGGCTGACACAGTAGTATCTTATCACTGTGTGAAGGTGGTGTGAAAATGGAAATAATCTCAGAGACGACTTAAAAAAACCTACACAAAACCAAAGGTCAATACATTCTCAAACTGTGAATCATCAATATATTGTACTAAATATTAATGGTCTTCAAGGTCAATGTTTTCACTGGCCTTTATGATAATAATATGAGCTATACAAAACTAAATGTATGAAATGGACATAAACCCATAATGCATTGATGCACATCAATAAAGAAAAAAAAAAAGAAAAAAGACATAGTAATTGTTTTAAATGGCTTCTTTTCCTAACCTTGCTTATTCACTGCCCTCTGAGTGCCTGTTAAAATCAAGGAGCAGGTCATTCACCAGCAAAAGCAATTATAAAATGCAAATGACTGAGCATTTATTGTCAAGATTGGCTAGATAAAAAAGGTCTGAAAATAACATGTTTCCAAGCAGATGACATAATTAGGTGTTTGTGTCATAAACAATGGGAAATAATACAAGCCTTTAGCACTTTTAGAAAAGCTACAATTAAACAATAGGTGAACATTGTGACATAAATTCTACTAAAAAGTAACAATTAAATTTCCCTCTCAGAAATTAGTAGGCACCATCTTGTGGTTGCTCTGCAGGAATGCAGTCAGGATAGCCTCTGACCACCATCTCCTCCTATCCCTTCCCACCGTGCCAATTAGAATGGCAAAATTCTGCCATAGACAAGGACAGTGCTTTGTCATTCCCAGTATTTCCTCTGAACGAAACAGTGAAACTATGTATTAGGCAAGACTAGCAGGGTTATCTAGTTCAAAATACACTCCAGATTATCCCATTATTACAACATGTGTGTGAGGTAGAAAATTCAGAATTACTTGCAATGATAGCAAAACTACACAATTTCTCATAAGTTTAAGATCAAATACTACCATAACCTAAATTTTCTGCAGCTCATTAAAGCTGTATGAATTTTTGAGCCAGCTAGGATCAGAAACTTCTGTTCCTATTATCCCTACATTACAAAAACATGTTTTGAGCATTTTGCAGAAGGTTTTTTAAATTTTTGTATGCACTTCATTTTGGGAAAGAGTCGATCAGATAAATTTATGCCATCTTCAAAGACATATTTAGCCTTATATACAGGTCACAGCTCAGCATTCGGAATTTCTTGTTCAATAGAATCTGTAGTTGTAAGCAAAACAGGTCTGTATGTAATTTGTGTATACTCCCAGCTACTGATCTCTTCTTTAGGCCCAGTCCTGCTAAGTACTCATTCACTGTGCCTTGTGAGATAAATTATCCACACTGATCTTTTTCAACTCAATTGCACAGCTGAAGAGTGAATTATTTGCCATAGAAAGTTCAATAGTTTCTTTTCTTCCTTGGGAAATGTATGTGAAATATAAACTAGTATTAATTTATTTATAGTTTTTATTGTTTTTATAATAAATTATAAATAAACAGCTATTTCAGAGAGGTTAATTGAATTTATGTTTATGTTATGATTTGATCGTATAACTCCAGAAATATTTTTTTGGTATTACTATTTCATTAAACATTAAGATTTAATCCAGAATTTTATATTATAGGAAGTGTATGACCTCATCTCCCATAGTGAAACAAACAGTTAGGTATGCGTCTCCTTTCATGTTATTTGAAGTACTTAGGAGTTCAAAATTAATAAAATGTACATGTGCTATTTTTACATATGCATACATAGTTCAGACCTGCTGAAGGCTCAATGAGTTTTGAATCCATAATTTCTGGATCTTCTGGAAAATACTTAGTAATTTAGGATGCTCCTTTTTCAAGCAAACTAGCTTTAATTAAAGTGTTGATGACTGGCAGTGTAACTGTGATAACATCCAGGCTTATCTTTCCTTCTGAAAGGTGTCAATAAAAGAAGAATTTCTCTATGTCCATAAAGAATTGTGGTGGCATAAAATCATCTGTTTCCCAGGAAGACTACAGGAGTGTCATATGTTTCCTTTAGGTTTCTGAGCATGTCAGGGGCATGGATGTTCTGAACCACTTTGCTTACAAGACGCAACATGTTTTATTTTAGCAAATAACACCATTTTGTCTACAGTTTTTCTGAGCTCAATTCCTTTCAAGACTTCACTTCTCCAAATAGGTTCACACAAGCCAATGTCTCTGTTTATGTGTGCACTCCAGGAACAGGATGACATAGAAAATGCTAAAAAACCATCTATATTATACACTTTCAACTCTGCTTTGCCTCCCTGATGGAAGTATAAGTGAATATTTTTTATACCTTAAAAAGCAAATACACATGCCCACTTATATCTCAGGATACTCCATATACTCAGCAGCTGAAGTTATCTGATTTGTTTTGTTTTCTTTGTTGTTAACATGACCTTTGATTTTCCCTGTTTCCAGATATTGACAAGCATTATACAAATGCCAGAATGATACTCTCATTCCAAAGGGATGAAACTATAAACATCACCAAAAATAGGTTTCTCCTCTCTCCCCATAGGATAGACAAGGCAGTATTACTTGCATGGTCTACTTATCCCATCAGATTTGTAGAAAGAGGAGAAAAATTGCAGGATGTCTCACCTCACCTTTGGCTGCTCTTATTCCCTCTCCTAGGCAAATGGGATCTGCTACATTTGGAGAGGTTGAAAGAAGACATTTTCTGAAGGTCTCTGGGTGCTGCAAGAAGAGTGGGTGAGGGGATGCTGGGGTAGGCCCTGTGTAGGGATGCAGGCATTGTTTTCGTGTTAAGTCCATTCCATAAGTAAAATTGCACTGAAATTTTAATGGTGTCCTGACATCAGGGTATGTGGGTGTAGCAGGGAAGAGAGGGAAGGTGAATGATTGGAGGCAAGGAGGAAAGAGAGGAGAGAGACCTGACTCTTTCAACTGATTCAGATTTATTCCTAACTTTTTATAGTATCTAAATATCTGATGACGAGACCTTTCTGGTGTAGATACTGTTGTAAGGTCAGATTCCTCCAGTCACTGCTATCTCTATCCGTCACCAATAAGCAACCAAATGGGAAAAAAAACAAACACAAAAAACCCCCAATCATATTAAAAAAAACAAACAAACAAACCAAAACCCACAAAACTATAGGGTTTAAAGAAACAAATCCTTAATTAGAAAGTTTCTGTTTGCTTTCTCTCACAACTTCCAAAATGCTGTTATTGTCACATAAGATATGCATTTACACCCTGTAAAACACTGAACTCATGTAACAAAATTATTACTAAAACTGTCCTATTTTTTCTAAGTGAGAGCTTGTTAAAAATCTAGAAAAACTAAAATGATTTATACTGATACTCATGTTAGGAATGGATAAAAATTATTGAGACCGACATGGGTTTCTTAAGTAACCACTATGTTTTCCTCACAAATTCATTTCAGAAGCAAAACATTCCAATAGAATTTTAACAGAAGGAATTAGCCTGTAGTATCATAGAGAAGAGGACCTAAAGTATTCTTTAACAATTAAATAAATGTACCCATGTTCAAACAGTGTTTAGGACCTTGAAAGCTCACATTGCCTTAGTGTGTATTAGAAAAAAAAGAACTTTTTAAACAGTATCTTCATAACGGGACACTTGAATACCAAAAGGTTTCCTCAAAAGAAGTGAAAACAAATAATAAATTTTCTGACTAATGATTCAAGTTACAAAAACTCACCAGTAGCACCTGGAAAAATACCAGTATAAATATAGCTATGGATTTACTACTGATTTTATTAAATTAAATTTCTAAACATAAATTTAAAAATTGACATAGTGCTTGCATTCACAAGCTTACATTCACAAGCACCTCAAAAGCAAAACCAAAAGAAAACCAAACAAAAACAACGACAACGAAAAACCCCTAGTAAAATCTGAGAGTTTCTCTCAATTTTTAAAATTCAGAATTTGTCATAGCAGTAAAATATACATTTTTAGTTTAGGTTTAAACATGGGCACATACATATTGAAAGATTTGTTTAATTATTATGCAAAAAATTATAATTTCAACTAAGAATTTCTCAATATATTCCTAGTATTTGCACAATTACAGTATAAATTGCAAGTACAGAACAAGTTAACAATAGAAATTTCAAAACCGGGTCAGATTGAAATTACAGGACATCATATCAGTAGTAAACCCACCAAAAAAAGAACCATGCTGATGCAATCTTTTCCAGATGCTACCAAGACAATTTTGCAAGTATAAACTCCTGTAAAGAACATTTTTATAGAGACATTTTTAGATTTTAACTTTCAGCTATGGACAGTTTGTCTTTTGAAAATCAGAATTATCTGTAGAAGATTAATTTGTTTCCCATTACAGTTTCAGATTTCTTCTTCATCCATAAAATTAACTGCAGTGAACTTCCAGGAGTAAAAAGCTGTCTTTTTTCAGGCTTGAATAAGAGGAGAAATAGTCACTTGTCCTGAAATCTGGCTACAATTAAACACATTGAAGACAAATTAAAAGCTGTAAATGTAAAACTTTGGATATTTCTGTCATCCTTTGTTATATAATTACTGTACTATAACAATAAACAGTAAGTATGCATCACCTACATTTCACTACCAGATGTTTAAAGTATTATTTAAATAGACCATCAATATAAAATAAAACAGTTAATGGCAATATTTACCTTTTCCAATTGGGCATTTTTTTTTGATTTATACAAAAACTCCCCCACTGCCACAAAGACAGAAAGCACCAATCCTGCTGCCAGCACGATGAAGATGCCTCCAATATTTTGAACTCCCAAAGCACTGGCCTCTTTACTTTCCTCCTCTGGGCAGCCATTGCCTCTCCACCATTTCTCTTTCATCATGTGGAGCTTGCCCTCCTCTTGCAGTTGAAGAATTGCTATAGTGATCTTGTCTCTGTATGGAGAACCTAAAAAAGACCATAGGGAAGACATATTGCATGGAATATATTATATGAAATGTTAGTTATTCCTGATAAGAATAAAATGTAATATAATGTCACATGAAAAACTGTATCCTTAACAACCATAATGTTAATCAAAAAGCCATTTACTTCTCAACACGGTCACACTAGTCACATAAATACAAACCCCCATGTGCACACACATATAAATATATGCACAAAACTTGATCCAGCTGGTGTTGCAACAAAAATTTGATGCAACAATTCCAATCACATTTAGTTCCATGGTCTCAGAATACCTTTATGGCCAACTATTATATTCAGCCAAACAGTATTCTTCTTTCAATTTTTTTTCAATCAGCTTTTAATTATGCTGCAGTAGATTTTGTCTAATATACATAAATCTATAGGCTGTTGCTTCATAGCTTGTTACCCTAAGGCAAATACAAGGTCTGATATTTAATGAACACTTTATCCTATTACTTTATTAAAAGACCAAAAAACAAATGATGCATCAGGACCAAGGCACAAAAATCTCTATATAAAAGATTGTCAGGCACTTCAGGTATCTTTCAAGTATGCAAACACTTATTAACAGTGCCAGGTAGCAATGCATCCAGAAAGATAAGGTTAAGTGTGTTTGGATAACAGGGATGTAAAATTCTCATATTTTGATGTATTTCTTTCTCATAATTCAGTATTTTAAAATGACATGATAATTTTGTAGCTTTTGAACATTTCAGTATTTCAAGGAGCAGTTCAAAGCGTAGTGTCATATCTATGTATGTCATCTGCTCTCTTTTTCTTTACATAGGACATAAGGGCTTTTCAATGAGTATTTTAAAATCTACACTAATAAATGAATAATGACAATGGATAAAGCTTTTCTTTTCTTTTTAGAGAGTAAATCACATCAGTTAGAAGTGCTTTCTATGGTAAGACTTGTGTAATGTTTAAGGAGAGAACAAAGCCATCATTTTCCTTCTCCTTCTAAAATGGGAACAAAAGACTTCATTAAAGTGGTTAAGAAATCTCAGGGATAAAAAGCATACATGAAAAGGCCTAGCATCCCCTCTTTCATTTGATGTGAATTCAATTCTACAACGAAGCTCTCCTCTTTTTCTTTCTGTCATGATAATGCTACTTACTAGCTATAAATTTTAGGGTTTCCTTTAGCTGAGTAATAAAATGCATTTTCACTAACTTGTTACTTTTAAAAAAATCCTCTGTATCTATTTGAGAGATGGTGTCCATTTGACTATATAATGTATTGTGATCACTGTGAAGGAGCTGAATTGCATGGATAGGATATTTTGTAGTCTTTAAACTGTCGGAAAATAAATATTATTTTTGGAATTTCTTTTATTCTTTATTTCTTCAATTTCTGTTTACATATCTAACTCTTATCATGAGAATAATGCTAATAGCAAAGAGCTGCTGTGCCAGGATAGAAGTAGAACATAGAAAGGACTATTAATTACAAAATACAAAAGTACTTTTTCCTTTATTCAAGAATAAAAGGAGGGAAGGGCTCTCAGTATTTAAATTGCAGGGACTCAAAGTATTTAAGTTGCAAGGACTTGTGCTTTTCTCATTTAAAAAAAGATGATGTTTTGTACTCAAAGGTAAATTGTGTTTGCTAAGCGTTATATAGGAAACAGAAAGGAAGGGAAACAAACTCCTTTCTACTCTCTTGTACATGCAGGGGCCTAAGTCACACTATTTCAGACCATTCTGATTATGTTGAAACTCTGCAAAACCCTACACTTGACACATTTCTTCAGTCAGATGGAAGAAGAAAAGTGATTAGTCCACAAGAGCCTGGGAAAGTGTAAGTGCATTCTGTAATCTTCTGGGGATATTTTCAACATTACACTGCATATAAATATTTAACAACAACAACTTAAATAACATTAGATTCAGAGAAATAATCTTGGACCCAGTTTAAGCTGTCTTCTGATCTGACAGGCTGCTTTCTAATTAAATTGATTTGCATTTTGTTTCCACACTTGGTCTAAATATAGTGCGTACCAACTATACTTCATGTATTATTTATATATTCTGGGGATCAGATTTGTACACTTACAATTCTAGTCTATTTGAAGCAGTTAAAAAATGAACTGACTGAGGAATTCATAGACACAAACCATAATGCATGGACTAATCCTGTCTACAATTAATTAGTTTATGAGGGTTGCATTAGAAACATGCAGTTTATAGTGATTTATTTCAACAGTATTTGTATTACTTACCGTTGGTGATTTGTAAAATTTTACACAAATAGTTTTGGAATGGACATATTACAGGGCCTTTGGTGTTTCTACTCCAATATTTGTATCTATTATACCTTGTTACCTTGTATTAAAAGCGATACTTTCACAAGTAAGGGTCATTATAGGTTGACCAGCATTATATTGCTGCTGTTAAATCAAGCATTTAAAACTTTGTACTCATGATAAAGCTGCCATTCAATGCTCTAGTTATATTCCATTTCTGAAGGACTTAAAATGTTCTAAATTAATTCATTTACATTTTGAAACAAATACTGAGTACATCTAATAATCTAATATTTGGAAAAAAGTAATTTTTATGCTGCTTATACTTATTCAAGTGGCTTTTAAGAGAACAAAGGAAGCATATCAACAATATTATTTCCTCAGACTATATTTGCTCCTATCTGTTTTCCCTTACAAGCTGGATTGCGAATCCCAGCAATGGAAAATCCACCCAGAAGCACCTGAAGTGGCTAAAAGTATCATGAATCTGTGGATGACAAAGGTAGCACAAAAAAAAGAGGAACAATAAGCAGAGAATATGGTCAAGGAACCCTGATTACAATCTGGATGTTAAAGCTGTTTTCCTTGCAGAATTGAAAAAATTCAGCAAGTAAATGGAGAAGATTTCTGACATTTATTGGTAATTTCCCCTATCACACTTATCACTTGACTGAAAGATGAATTGAGCCCTTCCATGAGGTGTTGCAAGAAGGTCATATCCTGCTTTTTACATTTTTTTAAATCAGAAGTGTTTAATTTCATTTCATTTAAATTCTCATTAAAGATAATTTACTGTTCAAAACAAACGCAGACAAAAAAAAAAAAAAAAGAAAAATAAAATAGAAACTTTAAGACTCCCAGACAATTCTTATGAATGAATTTGCAAAATAAAAATGGTTTGAATAAGAGTAAAATATAATCAAGAGAGAATTAAATTCTGAAATGTGAAGAAATAGAAACTTCACATCTTGGCCTTCAATAACAATACAAAGCGGTTGAAAAAAAACAATCTTAAAAATCTGTGCATGGTGGGGAGACAGGGAGGGAACAGTGATTTTTAAAACTCTATTCCAAAATCAGGAGGAAAAACTGAAAAAGTCTTCCATTGAGTGCAGAGAAGACCAGTACAGAAATATCTGACTTTTCTCTCCTCTGTTTTCCTGGTTTCTACTGCTTTCAATTCTCTCTCAACTGATTATTCCCATGACAAACAGAGAGTGGAGGGCCTACAGAATATAATCTATACATTATTTGCTGATCCTAATCTACCTGCTGTTTGCAGAAATAAGAATTTCTGCTGGAAGAATTTTAAGACCTTCTGTTAGAGATTTTTGAGACCTTAGTGCCTTCCTACACAGGTTCAACAAACTCAATAAGGGATGCAATAACTTCTACTTCAGTTACCTGCTCATGAAAATTTAAAATAAAAATGAAAATTTACATAAAATACCTTTTTCTGAAGCATCTGTACAAAACTAAGACAACAGAGTCTCTCAGATTTACTGCAGAAGCTGTACATAGATATGTTTTCTGCCCTGAAGTCTCAGTATATAAAGATTTATGCACATAATGATATGTTTAATCATAAATTATGAACACAAGCTTTTTATATAGAGACTTCACTGCATACAGATTAGTATTTTGAAATTCTGCTGATCTGGCTGGTCTTGAAAATGCTTCCTAATAGATTATAACTTAGTAAAATCTCCTGCCTTGTTACTTTCAGTCTGTTTTACTCATTCCATCAAATACAAAAAGAGTTGGAGCATGCTGGGATCTGTAGAGCTGATTCTGACTCTCAGTAAATTGAAAGGAAAAGCAGGGTTCTGCTAACTCCTTCATTAAGAAAGTGTAGACCCAGGAAATTTTTTGTTTTATCATTCCAGATGTATTCTGCCAAAAGAAATCACTATGAATTGCTTAGTATTTTGAAAGTTGGTGCCCATGGGACATAATTGCATGGTACTTTTGATTTGCTAGACAGTAAAATACATTCTGAACACTCATAGACCACTGATAGTATCTTTTATTCTCGTTGTTTTTTTCTTTTTTTAATAATAATCCCAAGATCATTCTACTTTTCTTGCAACATTATCTGTGTCCTTGGCCTAAGTGAAAGAGAAAGGTAGTTCAGAACACAAGCATCATATTCAGAACCTAGGTACAAAATTCAGATAATTAAGAACTTCTTTGAGTAAGGAAGTATCTATTGAAAGGAGAAAGCCACATGTAATGGGAAAGATATCTAGGTTTTGAACCTGTATGTGACTAGTTTACATTGAAACAAGATGGAAGGGATTTCATTTACACATAACTGTGGAGCAGATGTTTAGACTATGAGGAATCATGGAAAAAACCAGCCTCATACATCAGAGGGCTTGAAAAACCTGACAGGAATCTGCAGCACAGTCAGTACTCAGCAGTAAAGACTTGACAGTCACAGTTACAACATGCCATAGGAAAGTATTAGGCAGCTAAAGGGCACTGGATATAGGAGAAGTACTTTTGTCGCCACAGAAATGTTTTTGTTTTAAAAGTTACAGCCAACTCTGCTCCCTAACTCTGTTAAACCTCTCTAACTGGGAAGCAAAGGAAGTGACAGAAAGAAAGGTCAACATAGCTTGCTTGGTTCATTCTTCCTATATGTGGGTTCTAAAGTCTTCAAGCAACATATGAAGAAAGTATAGGGATTCTCTCAGTTCCCAGGCCCTGGCTCCACTTCCAAAACCAACTTATTTTCACATGGGAAAACATAACTGAGGATTCTTTCCAGGTCATGGAGTAATGCCGTTGCTGTAGGTGGTGACTTCCATCACTAATACTATCTTTCAGCAGAAAGATAGTCTGAAGAAAACATGGATGCACCCCAGATCTAAGCATTGGCACCTCATCGATTACGTCTTGGTGCGACGGAGAGATGTCCGCGATGTCCACCATACCCGCATTATGCCCAGTGCAGAATGCCAAACAGACCATCGGCCTGTGCGCTGCAAACTCAACTTCAATCTCAAATTCAAACCTAAAAGGGGCAGTATCCCAAGGAGAAGACTCCAATCTCCAATCAGCCACAGTGAGAGACAAATTCCAGGCAAACCTTCAAACTAGGCTCGAAAACCATTCCATAGATTCTACAGATTCCTCTCCTGAAACAATTTGGCACCATATTAAAAACAGCATCCTGCAATCCTCTGAAGAATCCTTAGGGTTCTCCTTCGAGAAGAACAAGGACTGGTTTGATGAAAACAATCAAGAGATCCAGGAATTGTTGAGGAAGAAAAGAACAACCCACCAAACACACCTTACACTTCTATCCTGTCACGCAAGAAAAATAGCCTTTCGTCTTGCATGCAGCAAGCTCCAACAGAAACTCTGTGACAACCAGAACAAGTGGTGGATCGATCTAGCTGAAAAAACTCAATTATGCGCAGATTCGGGAGATCACAAAGGATTCTATGAGGCCCCGAAAACAGCATACGGGCCTACATACCAAGTCCAAAGCCCTCTACTCAGGGCTGATGGTCAAACGTTTCTAACAGATAAAACCTCCATTCTGAATCGATGATCTGAACACTTTCAGACTCTTTTCAGTACCAATCGTGTAGTCCAAGACTCAGCAATTCAGTCCATCTCACAACAACCGGTGAAATACGAATTGGATACTGCCCCCACTTTAGGAGAAACCCTCAAGGTCATACAGCAGGTGAAAATTGGCAAGGCAGCTGGGGTTGATGGAATTCCACCCGAAGTCGGGAAACATGGGGGCCTTGCACTCCATGCTAAATTTCATGAGCTTGTGGTGCGCTGTTGGGAACTAGGGGAACTACCATCAGACCTTTGAGATGCAGTCAATCATCACTTTGTATAAGAAAAAAGGAATTAAATCAGATTGCTCAAATTACCCTGGTATTACTCTGCTCTCCATTGCTGGCAAAATCCTGGCAAGAATACTCTTGAACAGACCCGCCATAGCAGAAGGAATTCTACCTGAAAGCCAAGGTGGTTTCAGAGCCAACAGGAGTACCACAGACATGGTATTTGTTCTCAGACAACTGCAAGAGAAGTGTAGGGAACAGAACAAAGGTCTCTATGTAACCTTTGTCGACCTCACCAAGGCTTTTGATACTGTGAGCAGAAAAGGTCTATGTCAGATTTTGGAAACTTTAGGTTGTCCCCCCAAGTTCCTTAAAATGATCATCTCACTCCATGAGGATCAGCACGGACAAATCAGATATGGCAACACACTTTCTGAGCCCTTTCTAATAAAGAATGGTGTGAAACAAGGCCGCGTTCTTGCTCCAATCCTATTCACAATCTTTTTCAGCATGATGCTCCAAAGGGCCATGGCAGACCTCGAGGATCAGGATGGTATCTACCTTCGATATCGTACCAATGGAAGCCTATTCAACATAAGGCGACTGAAGGCCCACACCAAGACCTTAAACCATCTTGTCTGGGAGCTGCTTTATGCTGATGATGCTGCCCTTGTTGCCCACACATAAGTAACTCTGCAGCGTTTAACATCCTGCTTTACAGACGCCGCTGAGCTCTTTGGGTTGGAAGTCAGCTTAAAGAAGACAGAAGTCTTCTATCAACCGGCACCTCAGGAAGTCCCCCATCATCCCCATATCACCATTGGCCAATCAGAACTCAAATCAGTCCAGCAGTTTAATTACCTAGGCAGCCTCATCTCCTTGAACGGTAAGATTGACAGGGAGATAAACAACAGGTTAGCAAAGGCATATAGTGCTTTTGGAAAGCTTCATAAAAGAGTTTGGCGTAATAAACACCTGAAGAAAAGTACAAAGATCAGTATTTACAGAGCCATAGTGCTGTCTACTCTCTTATATGGTTCTGAATCATGGGTAATCTCCCACCACCACCTGCATCTCCTAGAAGGCTTCCACCAGCGCTACCTCCATACAATCCTAAACATCCACTGGTCAGATTATGTGACTAATACATCTGTTCTAGAACAAGCAGAAATCACAAGTATTGAGACCATGTTGCTGAGAACACAGCTGTGCTGGGCAGGGCACGTCTCCAGGATGAAGGACCACCGCCTCCCTAAGATCCTGCTTTATGGTGAACTTGCCACCAGCTGCCACAAGAGAGGAGCCCCGAAGAGAAGATACAAGGACTCCCTGAAACAACATCTCAGTCTTGGCCATATTGATCAACATAACTGGTCTACTCTGGCCTCTAATCGGGAGGCCTGGAGACACACCATCTGTAACGCTGCTGTTTCCTTTGAGAACGCACGCAGGATCACTCTCGAGGAGAAAAGACAACACAGAAAGAATCACGTCTTGCAGAATATACCACCTAAGGAGTCTCTCTGCTGTGCCTTTTGCAATCGGATATGTCTATCTCATATTGGCCTCATTAGTCATCAGCGTGCTCGTAACAGAAGTGGATAGAGCCTTCCTAAGTCTTCGTTTGCGAAGTCCAGCCATGAAAATGTGGTGACTTGATGGACTAAACTTCTTTGGCAATGATAGGAAGCAAGCAACAACCCACAGTGAAGATAAGACCAATAAAGCAAAAGAAAAGGGAAGAATTCCTGCAAACTTGATACAGAAGCAGACTCTCCTTTATCTCAAAATCTGGATCTCAGTTTAACACAAACTAAATAAGCAACCAGTTTAAAAAAAAAAAAACAGTTATGAAAGGTGTTCTCAGCAGAAAATTAACCATTTCCATAAGAAGTAGAAAGGTATAAAGAGTGACCGGGTATTTTTGAGAGTATACCACAAACCTGAGATCATCGCATGACACTAGGAGATGGATGTGTGTTCTAACTGTAGCTTTGATAACAGGCTTGCTTTGTGAAAAGACAAGTTGCTGGTAAGAGGCAGGAAACATTTAAAATCAGTATTTCATGCTGAATGTAACCAAAATCCTTTCATAAGTGGTGTGTTCTCTAATTGTTTTCATTTTTTCCCCACTCACAGCCATTCCCAGCTCATGCTAATTTCTGGTCCTTTCTTTATAGAACCATCGCTTAAAAGTTCCTGCAGGTTTATAAAGCTGAAATTTAACCAAGATGGATTATGTAGCTGAGATTTATTTCATATTAATTTTCTAGCCATAAATATGCAACATAATTGATACCAAATTTAGATGAATATTTGGGAGCTGGAACTCCAACAGCCATTAAATAATTCTTGTGTTCCCAGCTACCTCTTGTTTTAGGACTGGGAAGTGGACATCCTTGAGTATATTAATTTGTAACTAGTTTAAAACATATGTATCTTCCACAGTGAGTACATTACCAAAAAAAACCCCAAAAAATCCCAACAGGATAACAGTTGCCTACAATTAATGATATACATAAGATATGATGATAGTAGGTTTAATAGTAAATAAAAATTATTTTCTCTGTTTCTTTTTGAAGTACCAAGATAACCAAACAGAATGAAGGTGTTTTTAGACTTTTTTACTATTTTAAATACTCAGATCACTGTTAAATTATGGTATTAACAATGCACATTTTATTCTATTTTTAATTTTGTTGCTTTATCCTTTCTTTTAACACAGTTTTGTTTTCTCAGTCCCTCCTCAAACTATCATTATAAGCTGCTCTTAATCACATCTCTTAGATTGAACACTGAATTCAAATGAATGAATGTTAGTAACATTTTTCATAAACTCTTCATGCATTTTAACATCACAGACAGTTTGAAAAGATCTTAATCGTAATATACTATTATCTCTCTACCCCTGTTGAATTGCACAGCTGCAGAATGGGAAGATATCTTTGTTCAAACTTCTACTGAGAAAATCAATGATATTATTTTTACCACAGATAAAAGTATTTCACATTTATACAGTGCTTCCTTTTTTCCAATTCTCCTTGCAAATCTGTATCCCTCACATGAATGGTTTGCAAATAAAGCCTCTTTTGGAAGAAATATTTGTGTAACACTACCCAGCAATAAACAGATGAATTAAGGAAGCCTAATGCTTACAGAGAGTGTAATCAGACATTGGAATGGGCTGCCCAGGGAGGTGGTGGATTCACCGTTCCTGGAGGTTTTTAAGATGAGACTGAATGTGACAGCTAGTGCCATGGTCTAGTAACCATGGCAGTGTTGGACCAGGGTTGGACTTGATGATCTTGGAGGTCTTTTCCAACCCAGTTGATTCTATGATTCTATGATTCTACAAAATGCTACATGCAGTTCTTATACACATAAGGTTTTGGTCAGGCAGATAAGATTATGTTGAAAGACAAGAAAAGGATAAGGTAGTAACAAACCCATCTAGACCTGAAAACCCATTTCATGCTTTTGCATCAAATCCCCTAGCAAGCTATAAGGGAAAATCTCCAAACAATGAATCTCAGTGTTTTGCCATTAGCTGCTTCGCCATGGGTGAGGTATGAAGTGGCCTTGGGTGCATCTAACTGCAAACCATGGAAACACCACGTGCTGGGATGCAACACATTGTTTGTAACCAAGGGTAGCTTATCAGGACAGAGACATTTTAAATTTCTAGATGAGTCTTTGGCAATGCAATACATAGAATCATGGAATCACAGAATCATTAAGTTTGGAAAAGACCCGCGAGGTCATTGAGTCCAACCTTTGAACAAACACCACCACGCCAACTAAACCATAGCACTATGACCACGCCCAGTCATTTCTTGAGTGCTTCCAGGGATGGTGATTCCACCACTTCCCTGGACAGACCATTCCAATGCTTGTCAACCTTTTCAGTGAAGAAATTCTTCTTCATGTCCAACCTGAACCTCCCTTGGGCAGCTTGAGGCCATTTCCTCTTGTGCTGTTGCTAGCTGCCTGGGAGAAGAGGCTGATCTCTTTACAGCCAGTTGTAAAGAGTGGTAAAGTCTCCACTAAGCCTCCTTTACTCTGGGCTAAACAACCCACCTCCCTCAGCTGCTCTCCTTTGACTTACTCCCTAGACATATATGTATGTCATACATATGTATGGTCCTAGGCACAATAACATCAACA